TAAATGTAGGCCATGAAGACCGAACAGAGACTATTTTGCTACTGAGAGTGCTGATAAATTGTGCTATGGCATTCTAATTAGCTGGTCACCCACAGAGAAACTCTCCTCACTGCTATGATCAGGGCTGTACAGCACAGAGTCAGAGATTCTCTTTGCTTCCCCCTTAATAAAATTTTCTTTTTATCTTTAAAGTACTTGACTTCTTACAAAATACCAACAGATGCAAAGGGCAGTGTGCAGTGACCTTCACAGAGTTTTCCCTTGCAGCATATGGGAACCTCTACATGAGGCTAATCCATGAAGCCGACTCAACGCTCCATCACTAACCCAGACATGCGCCCTCAGATGGACTTAACCACTTTAAGTCCAGCTTCCACCTCTACAGAAGGAGGGCTGGTGGATTTCAATACGATGGTCTAGTTCTATCCTGGTTCTGAAATTCAAAGGAGAAAAATAGCCTCAGGAACAAGCGGGAATGTATCTTATGACTTTACTATTTTGCCCTGTTTCCTTCTTAGTCTATGATGCTCTAAATTTCTAAGCTTTGTTTCCTGCTGTCATGGTCACACATTAGATCAGTAATCAAAACCATCATCAAAAACTTTCCTCAAGACTCCACATTTGTGTGGCTCCATGGAAGACCTTATACTGAAAGAAATTTAATCAGGCTTAAAAAAAAACAAGAGGAGTTTGAGTTCAAGCCAAAAATATTCAGCCAGGCAATCTGGAGGAACCGTATTTACTCACTGCAGTTTGACAGATTCTTCAGAAACTAACCAGTCAGAGTTGGGTGATCATGAGGAGAGCTTTGCCGTGCGTATTACAAGGTGAGAGAAGAGAGGCAGGACGTTCTCCTCCCTTATTCCCCAGGGCGGTGCTTCTCATTTTTTTATTTAAGGAGAGGAAATATGCAAATAAATGATAAAACATCAGAGCCGGAAGGGAACTCAGATGTCATCAGTCTGACCAATCCATTTACAAACGAGGACAAGTAGGCCCTAAGAAGGGAAGCAAGGGGCCCCAAGTCCTCAAGTCAGAGACCGGAACCTGGATCTGCCCTTTGTTCGGGGTTCCTACCACTCGACTATTTTGTCTTACTTGATTTCACAGCTGCAACAACTACAAAGAAAAAGTAACTGACACGCTTTAGAGTTGAGTTTCCTCCCCAGTAAAACTAGCATTTTGGAAGAATGAGTTCTCAGATCTCTCCTGGCTGTCAGAGTTAGTGTATCTTCCTCACCATCTCACTCTCGGTGGAGAGATCTCTGAATACTTACCCATTTCCCCTTGGTTCTGATAAAGAAAAGGTGTTTTAGCCACCACAGGATACCCCTATCTTATCACAATTCACATTTTAACTCGCACTTTCAATTCCTGATGAAAGTAGAAACATTGTGTGCATATGTGTATTTTTACTTACCATATCTGAAGCTTAATTTTCTTTCCATCCAGTTCTATCGTTCTGATTTTAAAATCAATTCCTGCCAGGAAAAGAAAGACAGACATGTTAACTTTCTTTCAGTATAATCCAAGTCTTATTAGGAAAAGGACAAAGATTTCTATTGAAAAAAGCTCTCCAACGCACTGGAAAATGTGGACACAGAGAGGTTGTGAATGGTATGTTTCCACCGAATACAGGCTGAAGAAAGGAATGCTAATTACTCTGCAACGAATTCCCACCCATGTTAAATGCAACGTATTATATGCCTCATTATTTTGACATAAATAGATCACATCCTTCAAAGTTATATAATTTAGGGAAACTGAGAACATGCCATATTTTCTACTTCCTGAAATACATATAAACAAAGCTTCCGACCCGACCCTCGTGCCCCCAACCTTCCCTAAAGAAGGCTGTGAGACCTCCACTTCCTCCCAACTGTTTCTTTAGAATCTGCAACTGGCTAAGAAAAGGAAAAAGAAAAAAAATCCCACCTATGTGGGAGCAGGGATGAGAAAGCCTGTATATTTATTTTATACAGTTAGCAAGCATTTTACAAACATTTTGATAAGTATTCCCCGCATCTTACTGGCTAGAGCTGAAATAGCCAAAATGTTTTTTAACCTTGGCTACACTTCAGGATTACGTGGAAAACTTAAAAGACAAACAAAACTCATGACTAGGCCTGCTTCCTTCGCCAGATTCTAAGATTCTGATTTAATTGGCCAAGGGTGGGATCTGTGCACTAGTTACTTTAAAAGTTCCCCAGGTGATTCTAACCAGGAGCCAAAGTTCAGCACTCAACCAGTAGCATGGGAAAGTCATTTGCAGTTCCGGCACTCAAAACTTCACTCCCTCCCTCACCTAACATCCCCACTATGGTAGCTCAAAACTTACTCGGCAATTTGAGCTACAAAGAACCACAAAGTCCCTGAGAAACAGCAGCTCGCTCTGCCATTTATCAGGATCAGGCTGCTACTCTTTCTGAAGGCACCAGTGAGCGGATACAGCTCAGCTGCAATTTGCTAAATCCTCATCACCTGGCGACTCAGCTTTATTTCAAACTTTTCTATTCTTTTGCATTCTCTATAGAAGCCCTTAAAGTGGTTTCCAAGACATTTCAAGAAAACATGTCAATTATGTATCCTCCGAAGTGACTTAAACATTAACTGTTATTATCTGGGGGGAGAAGAGCCTTCAACGGCTATGTTACTACAATATTTCTACAAATTAACACTGAGAACACCCCAAAAGGTTGCTTGCCAGCTCCACCTTCACAGAAGGTGGAGGCATAAATCAAATGGATTTCTCTCTTCTTCTCTGCAGGGCACTTTTCCTCCAAGGAACCTTCTTTTTTCTTTTTTTTTAAATTGAAGTTCAGTCAGTTACAACGTGTCAATTTCTGGTGTACAGCACAATGTCCCAGTCATGCATACACATACATATATTTGTTTTCATATTCTTTTTCATTAAAGGTTACTACAAGATATTGAACATAGTCTTCAGGGAATCTTCTTAGGTACTCTTGTGAATCTTAGAACAGACAACAATCACACCCAAGCTAATCTAGCAGAATAGTTTCTCATTCTTTGCCCTAATAACCATGAAATATTAAGAAATACCATTTGATACCCCAAATCCCCAAGTTTTCTGTCTCACATTTCCTCCTCTAAGGTACCTCAGTATGGTGGGATCTGCGGTTGCTGAAGCAAATTTAGCAACACAGCATGAATATTACTGTTCGCATCACAGAGAGCTTACTGTGGCCATCATTCATTTAAGACTTCATACACATTGATTTTTATTGTAGTTTCTTTCTTTTTTTTATTTTGATTTGTAAGATCTAATTTTTTAAAGTACAACGGACTTACCATGTTACGTTCATTTTTTGTGTACAGTAAAGTGATTCAATGATTTTTGTTTTTTACATATTTCCAAATCCAGTGCAGCAAAGACCCTCTAGGGGTTCTCCTCTAGCCTTTATCCCTTTATTTTGGCCCCCTCACAAGAACAATGCCCAACAGCTGGTAGACAATAATAAATGTTTCCTGATATTAACATTTGAAAAAAAACTCATAATTTTCCAAACTCATAGAAACAGAAAATAGAATGGTGGTTATGAGGGGCTGGAGGTAGGAAAAGGGGAGCTGTTGATTACTGGGTATAGTTTCAGATCTGCAAGATGAAAAAGTTCTAGAGATTTGTTTCACAACAATGTGAATTCACTTAACACTACTGAACTGCACACTGAAAAAAAAAACAGTTATGGTGGTAAACTTTATTTTGTGTATCTTTTTTTTTTACCACAATAAAAAAAGAAGAAAAATTCATGACTTTCAAAATACCTACTATGTATCCGGAAAAGAAATTTCTTAATTGGAAGACTAAAGTCATCCAACATTCCATCTTTTAATAGTTCATTCACATTTTAAATAAAAGATGATGCCTATCAAAATGCCTGTCAAGTGAATACTTTTCCTTACTCTGTGCTGTTAAGATGGTAACTCCCTGTTCTTTCAGGGCTGGGCATCATGGGTGGCTTCTCCACCTTCATTCAACAAAGCCATCTTGAGGCTCCCTTAAAGTCTCAGTTACTCTCCATTCATTTGAAACACTGAGGAAGCTTTCTACTGACCTAGCCTTTTGTTTTCTGTGTTTGTCAGAAGGATTCTCTTTCTGTTATCTGAGGAGGTTCTACCATTTTCTGGGATACTTAACTGCCTTTGCACCATTCAGAGGTTTTCACTGTTTTCTAAGAGTTGGGAACTGGTATTTAGCTTCGGCTGAAGC